TTCCCCCCCACACCCACATTTTAACCCCCGTCTACAGAACTCAGTCTCACCGTCCCAATCACAAACTCAATGGCGTTCCTCTTCACCGTCCTGGGAGAGTGGTACGTTGAGGGTAAGGTGATATCAAAATGTAAGCCTGCATCCCAGACAAAGGCCCTCTCTCTCCATTCCCCATATCCAGCTGCGCTAACTGGCATGATTTTGCACAGCTACTTGGCTTGGTATGTTCATGGTGCTGGGTGGCATTGCCCTGTGCGTCCACTCCAAGACTCGGTGATCGTATCTGATTCTGCCATGCACTGCACATCGGTGTGAGCGCTTGAGATATTTATGGATGGGGCTTTTCTTCGCAGTGTATCGTCCGGACTTTTGTGTGTTGTGCCTTTTATTTTGGCTATTGACACCCGTGGCATATACAATCATCAAGAGAAAAATGATATCAAAATAAATCTTTAAATTTCAAAAATAATGTATATCTCATCCCCACCCATAAAATCCAAATAGAGAAAACTATGCACATGTAAACGTTACATCAATATATTCATACTATTCCATCAGTGAAGACACACCACATATTACACGTTTCTTCCTCATCAGTAAAGGGAAAAAGCAGATCATAAAGCAACAACAGGCGCTGTACTATGCTGTGATATATGGGGATATTGCAAAACAAACAAAATAGAAACGCATATGTAAAACATTGAGAAATAAAGTAGCTAAGAGCAAAATGAAAAAAAAAAAAAAAAAAAAAAAAAAAGAACAGCGACGTAGAAACAGTGAGAAATCAAGCTATGATACATCACTCCATCCCCCCATTCGACCCCTTTACAATAGAGAATATTTTAAAAAAAACAAACACATCAAGAAAAAATAAAGTGAATCAAATGATAACATAAACCACTAAACATCGGCGATGCAGAGGGTTTATTATAGCAACCAATGGTAGGGGTAAAAGGCATGAAATCAAGCGACTGGGGCATTAAAAACAGGAAAATATCGTTCTCGTACATCTCGCTCCCTTCTTTCTTCTAATCAAAATATTCCTTCCGGTGATAATAATGCCGTATGTCGTTGATCGAAGCGGGAGAATCCGAGCAGAGGACGGGAGGTTGGGTTTACATTTGCCGCCCGCCGGGGAATGGAACGGGACGAAACGGGTGGAAAATAAAGGCGACGAAGTGCCGGTTACACGCCGCGGAACTATAAAACAAACAACATCGTTAGCCGCCAACAATATATATATATATATATATATATATATAAAATAATTCGCAAGCACCAAAAAGGGGGCAACACAGAGCAACACCAAAAAGAAAT